TTACCTGCCATACTTGGGGGCAGTGTCCCCTGGATTGGTTGGTGGCAAAAGTGTAAAGCGGAAGTCACCAAGTTCACTGGTGTGCCCACTGATGAACTTCAACTGCCCCTTTGCCCCAACCTCTGGGAGTAGGACTTCCTGGCCATCTGTTACCACATAGAAGAAAAGGGAGACCAAAGGGAGGGCAGAGGTACCTAAAGCCTGGGTGACCAAGAACAGGGGGGAAAAATAGCATTAAATTGGCAGTTTTTCTTGAGAATCAGCCTTAGTGAGGGAAAGGCATTTTAGGCAGGAGTAACATGGTAAACAATATGTGTTTGGCAATGCTGAGTCACTGAGGCTAAATAGATATACCCAGTGGGATGATCTAAAGAGCCTTACAGAGTTCTCTGGGAAATAATGGAATACTTGTGCTGTGTCCTCTGCTAAGAACTCTACACAGATTATTTTAATTCTTACAATCTTGTGAGTTCCGTGTTACTATTATCTTTGCTTTACCAACAAGGCTTTGGGGTGATACTCAGTCATACAGAGAAGTTCGAATTTAAGACAGATTTCGAACCAGTAAGCCAGACTCATGGCTATTAACCCCCACTTCAGACTGCATTTGCTGGCAGCAAGGGAAGGACTGAGGGAGTCTGGGCTGAGGAAAGGGTATCCTGAGGCCCTGACCTGAGGCTCTACAGTCACTCTCCAGCTCCAGTCCCCTCCGTGTTGACCCCCAGGCCTCTTGACGAACTCAGTAGTGAGCCTTAAGGCCCCATCCTGGATGTGTTGCCGCCCGAAGGAGAGGCCGTCGTGGAACTCCCAGCCATAGGGACCCACGCCGTCTCCCTGCTCACACGTGTGCCTGAGCTTAGGGGTCCCTGGGGTGGCGCCCTGCTGCGCCCACATCAGTCCTGGGGGTAGAATGGCCAAGTAAGTCAAAGAGAGAGCGGGAGGACCTGTTCCTGTGGGTTTCTGAGAACTTGAGGGTCATCCTCCTTCTTAACTCCTGCTCCACTCCGCCCCACCCTTGCTCTGGCGGGAAGCTGGGACACCCAGATTAAGAGTGTGCCTGTCTGCCCACCCCGGGGCCCAGTTACCGGTGAGGAGGGGTTTCGGGCTGCGAGTCTTCATGCCGAAGTAGACGTGAGGACGATAGGTACCCCAGAAGAGGTCAGGGGCCACCGCTGGGCTGGAGGAGTCGGAGGACAGCGCTGGGGGTGCAGAGTGTAGCGTGACCGCCCGCTGTGCACGGTACCACGCCAGCACCCAGCGCCCCGACAGGGCGAGAGCCAGAGCCAGAACCACCACAGCTAGGGCCGCTCCCCCGGCGGCGCCACGGGCCCTGCCGCCCCGGCCGTCCCGTCGCCCCGAGCCGACCCGAGCTTCCCTCTCTACTGCCCGGGCTCCTTCAGCGGGCGCTGCGCGACGTCGCCGCTCGCCTCGAGCCATCCTAGTACCGAGGACGTTGCCCGAGCGCAGACAGGCTGCAGTGGCGCCCGGGTCCTGCCTCTCCTGCTCCGGCTCTCGCCTGGCGCCCCAGCAACTGTGGTCCTGTCAGCACCAGTGGGCCCACGCCTCTGGCTTCGGGTCCTTCTCGCGCCGGAAGTCCCGCCCCGCCACGTCAGGTCAAATCCCCCCTAAGCCCGGAACCGCTGTCGCCAGCCGGGCGAAGGGGTGGATCAACCCGGTCGGCACTGGGAAGGGACGGCTCACTGGGTCTGCGCTTACGCGGAGCGCTCACGGAGTAAGCGGTTTTAGTAGAGAAAACCAATCTTACTTTGAGCCCCCCACCCCTTTTTTAAGTTGTTATATATTAACCAGAGAAGCCAGCCTGAGTGTTTTACTGATAACTGCCCCGCCCCAATCAGGTGACGGAAAGCCACGGCCTAGGAAATACAACTTTACAGCTTGGCCTAGGCCACAGAGCTGGGAAGTGGCTAGCTTTGGACCCAGGTAGGTGTACTTGAATCAAGCTGGATCACCTGACCCACAGCCAGTACCTTCTGTCCTCGAGGAGTGGAGAAAGTGGACTCAAGAGGAAGCCTGGGATCTGGGTCCAGCTAGGTCTGGAACCAGACATATGTATATTTAAGAGACATATGTATATGTAAGAGATCCTGTATACTCGGCCTATAATTCTAGTCCGCACTTACCTCCCACCCCATCTCCCCACTGGTGCTGGGAATTGAATCCAAGATCTGGTACATGCACTAGGCAAGTGCTCTACCACTGAACTACATCTCCAGCCCAATAATCTATTACTATTTTATTTAGATGAGCCCTAGAAAGACCACAATAGTGGTACCTGTATTTACAGAAGGCACTTTCTTTGGAACAATCCTGGAAGCAGAGAAGCTTAGGGAGAGGGTGGCTTTGGTCTATGTCAGCAAAGGCTGCAGGAAGGAGGTAGTATCTGCACCTCAGGTTGACCTAGAAGCATCAGCATTACCTTTTATGGTAGTGCAGAAATGCAACTTAGAGTCAACTAGCTCAGAAATGCAACTTGGATTCAGTAATTTGCTTCTCACCAATAGTGCAACATAAAAGCTATTTTCATACATAAGTCCACCCCATTTTAAATGAAAGCCCTATTCTTTTTTTTTTTTTGCGGGCGAGGGGCAGGGGGGTGAGGGGTGTGTGCTGGGGATTTTCCATGCTATGCACATCCTGTACCACTCTGCTACACCCAGACTATTCTATATTCTTATGCTCTCTCTACCTATTATCATACTTTCCACAGAAACTTATTGCATAAAACTTTATGCTTTATGTAACATGCTCACTTATATTTCACTATAATCTGACTTCTGGCCCCACTCCCTATTGGTAGATTTCTTACTCAACAATCACCCTCTAACCAAACTTAATGCTCAGCCCTTTTTGCACTACCCCATTGTACTTGGTCCTTGTCTCTATTGTAGTACGTATTACATATCTAAATTTCATTTATTCATTTTGTATCCCAGAACTGATCACCTTTATAAGTGCAAGGTAGATGTTAACAATTAATCATGGAGCTGGGGAACCAAATCAGGTTGTCAGTGTGATTTCCACTTTAGAATAAGTTCTTAGATAATAGCACTTATTATTCTCGCATCAACCTTGTAGGCACTTTACAGATGTTAACTCACTTAATGCTGTCAGTTGTCTGAGGCAGACATTCATCCTATCAGTTGACTGATTCCAGGACCCCTGAAAGTCCCTTATACAAAAAGGCCCCTGCTCAAATCCCTTACATAAAATGTCAAGATATTTGCATATAATCTACATATACCCTCCTGTATAGTTTAAATCAATCTCTAGCTCATTGATACCTATACAATGTAAATGCTATATATAGATAACTGTTATGCTGTATTACTTAGGGAATAACAAGGGGGAAAGTCTGCACATGTTCAGTACAAATGCAGTCTTTTTTTCTGTAATTTTTTCAGTCTGAGTGTGGCTGAATTCAAGTGTACAGAACCCATGGAGAGCCATTTATTATGTATTACAATAGTAGAGCCATCTACTATTATCCTTATTTGACAAGAGGAAACAGGCACTGATGGATTAAATAATTTGTCTCAAGCCACACAGCTACTTAAAGCAGAAGTGATATTTCAACCCCAGGCAATCTGGTTATACACTATACTGCTTCCAGGTGGTTTTCTTTTTTAAATGGGGTGGAGAGTGGGGAGACACTTTTTTAGACAGGGAAAAGCTATGGTAACATTGAAGGAGGCTTATGTGAAATGCATATGACAAATTACATAGAAGCCAATGTCTTAAGATCTTTGATTGCCTAGCTGAGCATTCTGAAGTTCTTCTCTAGGACAGGGGCTTCCAGTTTTTTTCCCCCTACAACCACAGTAAGAAATCATCCACACTGCACCCAAGCTGGCATGGTGGCACATGCCTGTAATCCCATCAAGTCAGGAGGCTGAGGCATGAGGATCAGAAGTTCCAGGCCAGCCTCAGCAATTTAGCAAGGCCCTAAATAACTTAGCAAGATTCTGTCTCCAGAAAAAAAAAAAAAGGGGGGGTGGGGGACTGAGGAAAAAAGTGTGGGCAGGGAGCTGAGGCTGTGGCTCAGGGGTTAAGAGCCCCTGGGTTCATTCCCTGGTACCAAAAAATAAACAAAGAGAGACCCCCCTCACCCAAATCATCTATATTGCAACCTAGTACATGCAAACACACACACATTCACAGACACACATCATATATGATTATATGCTTAAAACTAAAATTTCCTAAAAGAAAACCTCCCAATCTATGTGACATACATTTAAAAATTTTATTCCACTTTAAAAAAAAGACTGATGTAATTCCCTAAATTGATTTCATTATGCACACTAATGGGGGTTAATCCAGTATGAAAAACTACTTCAGGTACTCTTTACTGAAGGTAGTGGTGAGCACTAAGCAGTCATGTGCTTTGGGAGAATCAAATTAGCCACAAAAGTGATTAATATAGACCAGGCAGGAGAATGCAATAGTGATACAAGACCTTTTTTCTTTAATATTTTTTAGTTGTAGCTGGACACAATACCTTTGTTTTATTTATTTCACATATGCTAGGCGAGTGTTCTACCACTGAGCCACAACCCCAGCCCCTCAAGAGCTTTTTTAAAATACATTTTTTAGTTGTATATGGACACAATGACTTTTATTTGTATGTGGTACTGAGGATTGAACCCAGTGCCTCACACATGCTAGGCTAGCCCTCTACCACTGAGCCACAACCCCAACCATCAAGAGCTTTTTAATTATTTATTTCTGGTACTAGAGATTGAACCCAGGGGCACTCTACCATTAAGCTGCATCCTAGTCCTTTGTATTTTTTTTTTTTGAGAAGGGTCTCACTAAATTGCTGAGGCTGGCCTAGAACTTGTGATCCTCCTGCCTCAGCCTCCAGAATCACTGGGGTTACGGGTCTGTTCCACCTCCTGGAATTAATACTGTTTTAGACAAAGAACGTTGATGGCAATTGGAAGAAGCTGGTAGTAAGTAACCTGAATAAAGTGCAGTAATTGGGATTTGAACGAAACAGAAACGTAGGGTTTTACTCCAGAGAGGATAGTTTAAATTATGACAGGGGATGGGTTGCCCTAGGAAGAACACAAAGAAGAAAAAAAAGATGAGGGCAGTATGCCTTTATGTTTAAGAAGCAAGAAAAATCCAAGAGGGGCAGGGGTACCACGAGAAGGTGAATTAAGAGCGACAAAAGCTAATGAGATAGAGAGCTGAGGATTGAGGAAATAGCACGTTTGGTAAACAAGAACAAACGGTATTTTGAGTGATGTAAGAAGCCATATTAAAAAAGGTTAAGCTGTGAGGGTAAGAAAGAAAAAAATTCAAGTTCATTTAAACCTCTTCTCACCCCTATCTTCTCTTGCCCCCCCAACCATTGTAGTGGCAAAGCTCTCCCATCCCACCCTGCTCCGTGGCACCCTCCAGATAGTGACTTGAATGATGAAGTCGCACTTAAGTGTCCTTGTCCCAAGTCAAAATCTGCTTGTTGGTTTCTTTCGCGATGTCACCGTTCAGTACCAGCGCCAGGTTTGTCCCGGCTCCCCGCTGGGTTCCTGGCCCGAACGTGGGAAGCGAAAGCGATGAACATTTCCTGAGCGGTGAGTTGAGCGCCACGCATTATCAGGCGATGCCCGTCTCCTGGGGAGGATTCAAACAAACGAGTCAGGCACTGGGCAACGCAGTGTGGGGCTGAGGATTTCCTGCCTCCCCCTCTAGCCTGTCTCCCATACGAAGCCCACCGAACAGCACGTCCACGCAGGGCTCGGAGCCGTCATGCCTCACGTCTGCAATAACCGTGCAGTTGAGATTGGTGGCGCGGACCTTCTCGCTGCTCACCGCTTGGAGAAAGGTCCTACGGTGGGAAAAACGGCATGAGTGCCGGGCGGAGAGGGCTAGTGGCGGGAAGAAGAAGCATCCCCTCCCCACCAACATTCTTCTCACCTCGTCGACTCCACGTTTTTCTCGAAGGGGCAAAACTGAACCCGAACCTGCTTGACGGATCGCAGCCCGAGCCGAGCCAAGGCCGCCGCCATGGTGACCTTCGCCCCGGAAGGACTCGCGCTGGCGGAAGTGATACCGCTGAAAGGTTGCGCCGTCCGCAGTCCAGCAAAGTTGATTTCCGATCGCCTGCAGCCTGTTCAGGCTCCAGACTGCTGCCCCAGCTCCGCGGCCAGAGAGTAAGGCAGGGAGGTGGTGGGGATGGCTTCGGCACCGAGTACCGAGGGACCCAAAGCAAGCGGCCACTAATTACTACCTATCGTTAATAGTCCTTTTGTTCCACAGTGAAGACAATAGTGCAAAACCCCTTTGTACAAAAATACATCTGTCTTTTGCAGCATTTCCCCTTCTGTATCCTTATGTACAAGATCTAGATTAATACCATTTTATATTCTGTCTCCTTCCAAGGAGAGGACTCTACCACTGCAGGGATTATCTACTTACCGGAGGTGACCCCCTTCAGGTAACTGAATAACCAAAGCTTTAAATAGGAAGGCCCTACAACCCAGTATTCTTAAATGACTGAAAATAAATATAGTACAGGATAAAACCATCCTTGGGATTGATCCATAGGTAGAAATACGTATTCCACCTTTGAGATTCCCCATGAATAAACTGTTTTGTTCGTGTTTCTGGGATTTAAGAGGGCACAGCTTCTAGCATGTTTTCTATTGCTTTTCCTTTCCTTGTACTCTGAGATTCAACCCCTAATCCTCCTCCCACTTCCAGCCCTACAATGTCTTCACTGAGGGGGAACTAGGCCTGACCCTTCCAAGGGTGCTGACCTTCAGGTTTCAGCTTCTGGTTTTGCCCTTCACTCTTGATTGCGGGCACTGGAGTGATCTTGGATTCATAGCTTCTGATTCCAAGCTCTGTGTAGCTTAATGTATGCTCTCTCCCAAGTTCCCAATTCTAGGCTTCTTTAATATGCAGTTCCAAATATCTGGGCTTTTCTAATCAGAGATGGGGAGCTCCTGGTCTTTAGATTTCAGGATTGGTCCCCAGGCACGAAAGAAAGGGCAGTTGCCAACGGGGGTGCTGGTTCAGCCTTAGGGCAAGCCAAGCCTGCTGATTTCCCACCAGGTAAGCCTCAGGGCTAGGTCCTCCTCCCCTTAGGGTGCTTAGCAGCTGATTGGTCTGGGCTGGGGGTGCTCCAGACCGAAGAGGAGGCTCCAAGCTCTCCAGGTTGTTGAGGGTGCTGCTGGGCCATTCTGTGGCCTGGACTTCATTACAAACACCTGGCAAGAAAGAAGTGGAAGGCAGGTGGCTTGTAAAAAGATACTAAAGCAGATCAATGGTGAGTCTGGGCTGTGGGTCACTTAAAACAGTTAGGGAGGGGCTAAGAGAACCTCCGGTTGGGGGTGGGGAGTGACTCACAGCAACAGGGAGGCCTCCGGTGGACTCTAGTCTTGGGCAGGGGCTGCTGTAGTAGACACAGCAGGGCTCCATCTAGCTGCTGGAAGATGCTGAGCATGAACAGAGTCTGCCGAAGCTCCAGGGACAGGCCCCACTGCTCTTCTTCAAGCAACTCCCTGACCACTCCAAAGTCTTGTCTGAGCTGCAGTGCTCCCTGCAGGCTAAATGTCCAGGTACAATGTGACCACCTGACCTTTGTGCCTCTCCAAACTGCTCTATCCCTCCTAAGCCCTCCCTTTTCCCAGTTCCATTCCTCCTACCACAGTTTTTTCTCCCCACCTGAACCGGATCCCATGGGTGAGGATGTGGTCGAGCCAAGCACCTAGGATGGCTGTCAGTGCCTGACCCAAGGCAAGGGCCTGGGCTTGGGGTGATAATCCCTGCAATCCTTGCAATACAGGCTCCAGTACAGTTCGGACTACCAAACCAGCATACTCACTAGGAACATGGGGAAGTTCTGGAGTGAGAGAAGAGAAAGGACAGGATATGAGACTGTGGAATGTTTGTGAAAAAATGTAGGATTTCAGGAAGGAGGGCATAGAAAGTCAAGACAAGGATGGAGATAGTGGTGTGGAAACAGTATTTGGAGAGGTTGGGATACTGTTACCCCCAGGGACCCTAGAAATAGAAGCTGGGATAAAAAGTTACCAGGACAGAGACGAAGCCTCCAGTACCGACCACGTGGCATGTAGAGCTTGAAGCCCTGTGTGGCTTGTTTATGACATTCTTGGAAAAAGAGACTTAGTGACTCTTCAGGCAGGAGCTGCACAGATAAAAAAAAAAAAAAAATAAAAGAGGCTTATCTGTTAGGGACTTCTCAAATTATGATGTTTCTTTAAATCTGAGGTGTTAACTGGCTGTGGTGTTGCATGCCTATCATCCCAGCTATTCAGGATGCTGAGGCAAAAGAATTGCTAGTTCAAGACCAGCCTGGGCAATTTACTGATACCCTGTCTCAAAATTAAAAGGGCTGAGGATACAGCTCAGTGGTAAAGCCCATCTTGGTTCAATCCCAGTACTGCAATTTAGTCAATCAATCTGAGGTATTCAACTTGGTGTCCATAAACTCCTAAGATTGTATGCATGATTGTGGCATTTCCAAGGAAAGATCTATAGCTTTCATTAAGTTTTCCAGGAGTCCATGACACAAATTATGAACAACTGCCCTAGGAATACTCTGCTTTCAGCTTTATTCAGTGAATAGAAAGTCTTTGAAGTTAATTTTATTCTGTAGTAACTCTAGGGGAAAAAAGAGAAGACACCTTATTACCACCAGTGTTTGCAAGCACATGCCAGAGAGAGGGATCTCTTTCTTTCTTTCTTTTTTTTTTTTTTTTTTTGGTGCTGGGGATTGAACCCATGGCCTTGTACATGCAAGGCAAGAACTCTACCAACTGAGCTATCCCTAGCCCATGATCAGTATTTTTGATACCATTTCTCCAGAGTAACATAGCCCACAAAACAAGAAATGACTTATGTGCTGTTTTTTTGTTTTGTTTTTGTGGCTTGTTTGGTAGGTTGTAGTTTTGGAGGAAGAGAAGACAGCAATAAAGAAGGTCTCTGTTTTATAGCCCATTTTGGAAGACAGGTATCCCAAAAAATGCAGTATATGGCAGTTTCTCTGTAAAAATAATGCAGATGCCAGGGAACCTAAAGAGAAGAAAGTAATAGGGGATGGGGAAGGGCCAATGTGACCCAAAGAAAGAGTTTAGAGTTGGACATTATTGTCAGATTTCCAGGCACATCTGACAATAATCTGTACAACTCTAAACTCTTTCTTTCTTCTCCAACAAACCAGATTTCCCCTTCTCTTGAATATCAAGGTAATTGTCCTGTCATCACTGGACATTTGTTAGAAACCTCCACACTCAAAATTCTGAAGAGATACAAGATACACAGTATGAGATCACCCTTGCCCCTTTTGGGACATTACAGTTCATCTAAGGAGAAAACTCATAACACCTGATTCTCTGTCATCCCAGCGCTGTATATGCTGGGGCACCCAGAGGAGATGCCTAGCAGTATAGTCACCAGGCAGAGAAGTGAGGCATACAGTGCTCTGCAGTGTTTGGTCCACATGGTGAACACACTGTCTCTTGTTCCTTTTGCTCTGTTCTTAACCTCATCCAAGAGCTGAACCTTTCTCATATCATATCATGTCTCCCCACCTCCCTTCTATGCAGCCACTATGGCTAGAACAAACTTCTTTCATCATTTTCACTGTTCCTCTTCTCCTGTTACAGTGGCTCCCCATCACTCATGAGATAAACCTTAGATTCATTCAGTGCCCTCCACATAATTTGATGCTAACCTGCTTACTCCTCCAGCCCCACACCCGCTCCCCAACACATAACATGTATATACAGCAGGCTTACACATGTGTGCACGCATGCACACTTGCATACACATAGCACACACAGCCTCTGCTCTGGTCAGACCAACTCTACTACTGCCAAGGATCTATGAACTGTTTCCTCCAGTAACCCCTGCTGCTTTTCTGAGACTGCTCAGCCACCAACTTGTGTCATAGGCCCATGGAACTTTCTATAAAACACATGCCCACCATGGTCTTCCTTCCTCAGGCCTCCCATGACTATCACTATCTGCCCTACTCATAATGAGCCTGCTCTGGGACATAATGAGTTTAAGGAGACAGCGGTATTTTAGATAGAAATGCAAATGCAGATATTGGACTAGAACTCTTTTTTTTTTTTCTTTTGGTACCAGGTATTGAACCCAAGGGCTCTTAACCACTGAGCCACATCCCCAGTCCTTTTTATTTTTAATTTTGAGACAAGGACTCACAAGGTCTCACTAGGTTGCTTATAGCCTTGCTAAATTGCTAAGCCTGGCTTTGAACCTATAATTCTACTGCTGCAGCCTCCTGAGGCCTTTGGGATTACAGGCATTTGCCACCATGCTCAGATGGACTAGAACTCTTAAGAGCCAGAAGAACTATGGGAGTTTATAGCACCAAGACATTAGGTAAGCAGAAATGCAGAAGAAAGGAGTAGAGGGTTAATATGAACTCTGTCCACAGCCATGCCCCTATTCAAGGCAAAGAGGAGAAAATTGAGCAGAAAGAGAAAACAAAAGACAGACATCTTCCATAGTAGGAATAGATAATATATAGAATGGGGCAAAAATAAAATAGAAGAACAATGGTTTTATTGATAAATATAAAAGAAATCCTAGAAGAAACAGTTAAGCATGGACAAAGGTTACCATTCTGAAGTAGGAATCAATGATGAGGACAAATAACGCATTATTTTTTTCATGAGAAGCCTTATACAATATTCTATGGGCTGGGGTTGTGGCTCAGTGGTAGAGTGCTCACCTAGTATGTGTGAGGCACTGGGTTCCATTCTAAGCACCACATATAAATTAATTAATTAATTAAAGGTCCATCAACAACCAAAAAAAATATTTTTAAAAATATTCTATTTCATTTTTCACTTTTTTTTCTTTTTGGTGCTGGGGATTAAACTCAGGACCTCACACATGCTAGGCAAGCACTCAACCACTAAGCTATATCCCTAGCCCTATTTCACTTTTTTAATACTATGGATGTGCATTACTTTAATAAAAATACAAATTAAGCTTTTAAAGAAAGAAGAAACATTGTATTGAACACTGGTAACAAAGGGGAAAGGTACAATCATTTATCCTGATTTTTCTCTGCAAATTATATCTCAGTGGGTATAGTGGCACATGCCTATAATCCCAGTGTTTGGGGAGGCTCAGGCAGGATTCCAAGTTTGAGGCCAGCCTCAGCAACTTAATAAGAACCTAAGCAACTTAGTGAAACCCTGTCTCAAAAATAAAAAGAGTGGGCTGGGCATGGTGGCCTATACTCCCAGTAGCTCAGAAGGCTGAGGCAGGAAGATTGTGAATTCAAAGCCAGCTTCAGCAACTTAGTGAGGCCCTGTCTCTAAAATATTAAAAGGGGGACTGGGGTGGTGGCTTAATGGTAGAGCACTTGCCTGCACATGTGAGCCACTGGGTTCGATCCTTAGCATCACATAAAAATAAATAAATAAAATAATAGCATATGTCTGTCTACAACTAAAAAAAAATATTTAAAAAAATATTAAAAAGGATTAGGATGTGGCTCAGTGGTTAAGTGCCCCAAGGTTTAATCCCTGATACCAAAAATAAATAAATAAATGAAAAATCTAAAAAGCAGGGGATAGGGGCTGGGGATGTGGCTCAAGTGGTAGCATGCTCGCCTAGCATGCGTGAGGCACTGGGTTCGATTCTCAATACCACAAAAAAATAAAATAAAGATTCTGTGTTCACCTAAAACTAAAAAATAAATATTAAAAAAAAAAAAAAGCAGGGGATACAGCTCAGTGGTAAAGTACCCCTGGATTCAACCCCCCAATACTAAAACAAACAAACAGAAAAACACACACACACACACACACACATACACATCCTTCAGGGTAACCAAATCATTAATGAGGACATGTTTGTCTTTATAAAAGTGATCTAATAAATGAGGAAGAAATGAATGAATAAATAAATAAAATTGGAATAGCACCCCTTTGCAACCTCTAATGAAATAATGAGTTTAGGCAATGATGGTCAGTGGCTGTTAACATCAAAAAATGAGAGTCTGACATAATTAGAGAGGGTGGGAGGTATATAAATGAAATAAAATTGACCATGAGTTGATCATTGTTAAAGCCCTTATTGGTGGTAGAAACATGGGAGATCCATTATACTCTTCTCTCTATATTTGTATATGTTTAAATTTTCCATAGTAAGAGAGAAAACTAAAATAATCAATAAATCAATAACAGGTTAGTTTAGTAGACATTCCAAGTTACTGAAATGATCCACTCTGCTCATTCTGTCCACTGTACCCCCCAAGATGTTACAGAATAGGCTCTTAAACTTCTACTGTCAGGGACCCTGTTCTCCTCACCTGCATCTGTGTAGTGAGCTTCTGTATCTCCAAGCCCAGCTGCTGCTCTACCTCCAGGGCTAAGCTTTCCTCTAAGGCCAGGCTGGACAGAGCTTCTGCCTCATGCAAAAGAGGCTTTGGATAGAAAACAGGGAGTGAGAGCACAGCCCAGCCCAGGCTGCTCCCCTCCCCACTCCCTAAACACTCACAGGTAGGTCCTTTTGGATCAGGAGCAGGAAGGAACCTGGGATCCAAGCTGCCAGGTTCTGCTGAGCTCTGTTCAAGAACCAGAGCAAGGTAGTCTGTAAGGTACAGAGTCCCAGGGCGGCAGGTGCAGGACCTAGAAAGGGAGCAGCAGAGTATCTTAGGGGACATGGAGCATCTTTGGGATAAGACAGACTTCAGAACAGACTGAAGGAAAAAGGATATCCTCAACTGTTCTGTTTCCCTGTCTCCAGGCCTTCCTCTCACCTGGAAGGCGGCAATGGATCAATCCTGACCTCAGTTCTTGGAGAGCATCCAAGAGAGGTGGAAAGAGCTGCTGCAACAGTTGAGTAGTATGAGAGAGTGAGGCAGGGCTGTTCTGATCCCTAAGGGTTGATCCCAAGGCCTGGCAAAAACCTGAGGAAAAGAAGATATAGTCTGATGGGGGAGTGGCAACCTGGGACTTGAGTTGCCCCAGTATCCCTCTTTTCTCACCTTGGTCCCAGCTCCAGATAAGAGACTGATGAAGTAGGCTGTGACACAAAGAAGCCAGTTCCTTCTCACACTCCTGAGGCAGGGATGCTAGTGGGAGAAATTACTCTAGAGCCTGAAAACAAGGCCACCCATCCCACAACCCTGCCCACTCAATGATGGATTCTCCAAGACTCAAGAGGAGTGAAAAGCAAGACTTTGCCTTGAAAGCCCTGAAGCTATAGTTAGAACCCTGGGGGTTTCATTCTAAACTGCCTGCTTCTGTTGTCAGACCAGGAGATGAATGAGCAGAGTAGGGAGAAGATACCCCAGCTCTCCCAAAACATGGTCCAGGCCCATCACTCACCCTGACCCAGTGCCTGACTCAGCTGTTGTGCTGCTATCCTGGGGTCCCTCCAGGGTCCCAGATTTAGGTCCAAACTCTGAGCACAGGCTGCCCACAGCAGGGTCCAATATTGGCTCCACAGGGCTCCAGCCCCTCCAAGCCCCAGTTCACTGTTGGCTGAACTCCCTATGAGGCCCAGCAGCCCTGGCAACAGCTCACGCTCCTCATGGCATCGCTCTCGGAGCTGGTCCCGGAAGTCCAATCCCCAGAATGCCTCATCCAGCCGACCTGCCACCTGGCAACCCCGCTCCCAGGTCAGGAGATGGAGCACACGGGTAGGGGAGAAAGGGCACGCTGCCCTTGGGAGGTGGCCCATGGATTTTCTCTGCAGTTTGTGATAGACAGGAAGCTCCAACAACAGTTCAGCGAGTTGGGACGTCAGGCTTAGGCTGGCGGGCGCCCGACCCAGGGAACGAAGCTGCATCTCAATGGCAGCATCCAGGCAGCGGGCCGCTAGTCCGATGGGGCGTGCTAGGAGTAGCGGCTCAGGAATGTCCCGTAGGCCGATTCTCTGAACCGCCTCTCGAGGTGGGTGTAGATGAAAGTTGCGACACAGCTCCGGGAAGGGGCGGATTCCGCTGTCGTGCGTGCGGGGACTCAGGGTCTTTAAGAGGTGCACGGCCGCCTGTAGGTGGCGGGCGCAATCCCGGGCCAGGAGGAGTTGCTCTCGCTCGCGGTGCAACCGCAACAACACAGCCCGGAGACGCTGCAGCGCCAGCGGTATCGGGCCGCCAGCTGCAGGCTCCCGCCTCCAGTCCGCAGCGCCAGCCTCGTGCTCCTCACCCGAGTCGGCCGAGGCCAGCCAGGACTGCTGCCCTCCCGGAGTTCCGCCGGGCCGTGCATCCAGACAGGGAATGCTCCCGGGAACGGGTAGCCCCTGCCTGCCACGATCCTTCCCGCGGCTGGCGCCAGCCCGATTCCCCTCCCATAGCTTCTCCCCAGAGTCCGCGGGTTGCGCCCACAGCTGGGGCAAAGTAGCTAGCGGAGGCAGAAGGCCATCCGAGCGAGAAGCCTGAGCCATGGGCTGCGAGTCGGAAACGAATCTAACGTTTCTCACTTCCCAGCTCCGCCCAACGTCCGCGGTGTTCGGACTCCGCCTCCTACCATGAACCAACTCTCTCATCCCGGACCCGCGGAGATTGTACTCTCTCGCGCTCCGTAATCGACGGCCTCTGCCCCTAATAAAGATGGCGCCTATTCTATCTTACCCCGCCCTTTGCCCGGTATCAAATTCTAGACTGTGTTTCACTTTCGTGTCACTGTTGACGGGAGATGGCGCCGATTCCAAAGACTGTGGGGCGGATCAAGCTAGGTGAGTGGGGTGTGACACGACCACAGGGGGCCCAGGAGCGCAGAGGCAGCCCCACTTGAATCTATTGTGGTCTGGACGGCTTTGGTAGGATTTTATGCTTCAGGAGGAGGGTGGAGGACGCTGGTCCAACAATCCCGAGCTCCCTTGAAGCGGCACTGCCTTCCTTTCCTGTAGACTGCCCTGTGCGTCCTGGATGCCCGCTGGGGGTCGCTGCAGTCCCCAAACTCTATAAGGAATTCGTACCAGAGGACAGCGGAAAAGAGGTAAAAAATACTGCCACCTGCCCCTATGCCTGAGCGCGCGCGCACGCGAACGCGCGTAGGTCCTCTAGTTTACGCCTACTTTCAATCAGCTGTGCTTACACCTACTCTGTGCTGGCGCTGCACCCGGCTCTGGGAGCTTTGGGGAGGAGTAGCTTCCGACGCTGCTCTTGAGGATCTTGGGCAGGAATGGGGCGGATAATCCTACTGTAATGGATGCTCGAAGTTGGCAGAACTGAGAAGACCAGGGTTCCTGAGTTGAGGCTTGGATATGAGTGCCTGAGAAAGATACTGTAGACAGACAGGACAGTGCGAGCAAAGACACTAAAGCAAGGAAAAGCTGAGAGAACGTCACTAAGGTCAGATCGTAGTGGACGGTTGGAGATACAGCAAAGAGTGAGTGGAAAGGCCAAAGGTTTGGATGTCCTTAAGTAGGCCATAGGTTACTAAGAGAAGGATAGGATCAGTTTTTTTCTTTTCTTTTCTTTTTTTTTTGCTGGGGGGGGGGGGGGGTTGTAGCTACTGGGAATTGAACTCAACGGTGTTGGAACTACATCCCCAGACCTTTTTATTTATTTATTTTATTTTCAGACAGGGTCTTGCTAAGTTGTTGAGGGTCTCTGTAAATTGCTGAGGCTGACCTTGAACTGGCAATCCTCCTGCCTCAGCCTCTGCAGTCACTGGGATTACTATGCCACCTTGCCCCTGCTGTTTGCTTTTCTCTAACCCCAATTTTGGTTCATAACAGGAGCTTCTGACTCCGTTGCTTAATCCAGAAATCTGAGAATAATTTTGTACTCCCACTTTCCTTTACCTCACATTTAGGCAGTCACTAAAATCTACTTCTGAAATGTCTTTTGAAACAAACCCTCGCCTCATTTACATTCCTGCTCCCACTGCAGGAAAATTGAAATTTTTTTCAATTTTTAGTTTCAAGGGCTCATTCTGTCTGGCCTGGGCAGTTGTAATGGCCTGCTAAATAAACATTACACCCTTAGATCCATCTTCTTCTTCAGCTCTGTGAACAGTTCACTGCCCAGATCAGGTCCATTCCCATTACTGACAAGATAAAGCCCAGATTCACTGGGTCACACAAGGCTTTTCTGACATAGTCACTGGATTTTCTCCATTGGAATAGCCTACTCAGTGATCTCTTTGCTTACTCAGCACACACTCACTGACCACCAGTTAAGCACCAAACAGTGTGGTAGGTGATGGGAAGACAGCAGTAAACCAAGCAGACAAAAAAATTTTCTATTCATTGATTGAGTTAGACGTATCTAGTAGAGCGCTTGCCTAGCATGTGTGAGGTACTGGGTTCAGTTCTCAGCACTGCATATAAATAAATAAAGGTCCCTCAACAACTAAAAAAGTTTTTAAAAAGAAGTGTCTAGTAGAGGTAGCCAGTCAATAAATAAATAGCATAGTATGTCACATATAAGAAGTGGGGCAAAACAGCAAGAAGAAGGATGGGGAGCACTGAGTGGAGAAAAGAGATGTCTGTTTTTACAAGGAGCCATCAGAAGCCTTCCTAAGAAGGTGACATTTAAGCAGAGATGTAAAGGGAACAAAGGAGTGAGCCATTCACTGGGGAAAGACCATTCCAGACTGAGGAAATAACAAATCCAAAAGCACTGAGATGGGATCTCAGTTGGTGTGTTGTAGGAACTTCAAAGGATATTACTGTGACTGGAGGAGGGTGTCCAAAAAGTAGGAAATTTATAAAGATACTAGGGGGCCAGATCATGTGTGGCCATAGGCTACTTAGTAATATGATAATTCCTATCCTCTGAAGCTTACAATCACTAAGGGAGTGACTATTATCAGAATCATAGGGGGTGGGGACTGGGGGTATCAAACTGTTATCATAATCATGGATGGGAGCACTGAACTCAGTGGTAGAACAAGTGAGGTCCTGGGTTTAATCCCCAGCATCAATTTAAAAAAAAAAAAAAAAGTGTGTGGGTCAAGCCTCAAAGAGTGTTTCCTCATTTCGTCAATGAAAAAGAGTACAATAAACTCAAATGAATTCTACAAAATGAAATATCCAGGCAGTGACAGAATCAATAATGCAATGCAAGTAGCTCCGCTCTAGCATAGCTGTTTTTCCAGTTATGTGCTGCCACACCAACTTGCAATATAAATCAATGAAAAATAAGGTTCTAAATTGTATAAAAGACTATGTGGGTACAATTTGGTTGAGAGAGGGCAGAAAAATTGAAGATGAAAGGATCTGAAAAGGCTTTGAGGGGAGATGGAATTTGAACTGCCCCTTCAAGATGAGACAAGATGTGACAAGAAGATCAGAGCCAGCAAGGACTGGAGGCCCTAAGGATAGAGGGAGCCTGGTGGCCAAGGGAGGATGGCAGCTAAGCAGGGAAGATTGCAAGGGAAGGTTGGAAAGCTCAGCCAGCAAGCTTTGGAAGGCTCCAAATCCTAGACCAAGGCCCTAGATTCAGTCCTTCCTACGGTCCTGACAATGTGGGATACTGGAAGTTTTGGAGCAGGAGAGATATCTCTGAGAGCTTTGTTTTGGAGAGAAGCAGATGAGAAGCAGGAGAGGCCAGCTGGGAGCTGCCATGCATATATGTTTTGGCATGAGGTAGCTTTGGGTTGGGTGTCCTGATAGCTATTCACATTCAAGAGTATGATGGGACACAGAGGGAAGACAGGTAAACAGGCTCAATTCCAGGGACATTAGTGTAGCTGGCATAGTGGCAGGTCAGAGGAAGAAGACACTGGATGGTGAAGAAGGTTGGGCTGAAGGCCACGCTCAGCCCCAGGGAATGCAGGAGAATAGCAAGGCGAGGTGATGCATCATGAGAGCCAGGAGCAGCACATTTTCCAGGTGTGAATGGGAGAGAGGTCAGAGCCAAAAGGATTCTTTATGTTGGGTGGTTGGTTTGTGGCTGCCACAGTAGAGTTCAAGCCAGCCAACCCTTTGCTCTCTCCCAGAACTTCCCCCAACACCAGCCTCCCCTCCCCTCCCCCTCCCAGGACGTAGTGGATTTTCTTCGCCAGCTTGTGGAGAGTGATCCCCAGGGCCTGCACCGGATCCATGTGGATGGGAGCAGCAGGCAGTTGCAGCAATGGCATCATGGTGGGGAGTGCAGGCCCAGACCTGGGATCAAGGCTGGAACCCTGGGGTGGGCTGGCCCTCGGGTGTGCCCCTCTCTCATGTTCCTCTTTCTTTCCTGTCTCTTTTTCCTTGCTAACAGATTACCCCTTGGACCATTTCTGTGATGAAGGAAACACGACTGGACAGAGTGTCAGGGGCAAGGGGGCTGAGGGACTGGGCACCTACTGTGGTTTCCAAAAGTCCTTCCTATACCCTCCGCAAGGGGCTGAGCCCTGTTCTCAAAGTCCCTCTGCCTCTGCATCCTTCCCCAGTGACTCAGATAGCCTGCTTCAGGTGGCCCTGCCCCAGAAACTCCAGGTGACGGAAGAGGTGAGATTGTCAAGAAGGGGCTTTATGGTCCTTTCAATACATGTATTTCCACCCCTGGATGCTCCCCTAATTTGTACCTTTTAAGGCCCTTCCACACAGCTTGCCTCCCTTTCGCATTCTCTCTCATTTTCCCTGTTTCTTTCTCTTTTTTTGTCACTTGCCCTTCCTTCTTCAGGAAGCCAACCGCCTGGCCGAGGAGCTGGTGGCTGAGGAGGAGCGCATGAAACAAAAAGCAGAAAAGAAACGACGCAAGAAGAAGGTGTCTGCAGGGTGGAAAAAGGGAACCCGGAGGGAATTAGGGAAGGGAAAGAAGCAAACTTTGTGAGAATAGGAAGGAGCTTAAGGTGTCCTGCAGTGGATTCCTTCATCAGGTGGACCTAAGGAGCCCAGGGACTGGAAGGTCTCCTGGAGGCCATCTGGCAAAGCAATTCGAATGGCACAGTACTGCCCTAGTGGAATCTACCTCCTCCTTACAGTGACGTCTCTGGCTAGTGACTCTTTTGTCTTCTTTTAACCTATAATAATAATAATAATAATACCTCATAGAGTTGCAAGGATTAAATGAGATAGTATATGCAAAGCTTAGTCTAGTGTGTGATGTACGGTAAAGGTACATCATCATCATCATCATTACAGCGTCAAAAGGAACGGAAACGACAGGAGCGGTTGGAGCAGGATGGTGGGGAGTCCAAGGTGAGTTCTGCAGGCAGGTGCACAGAGCAGCAAGGGCCAGGAAGCTGGGGGCTGAGAAGGCAGGAGACGCAAGATGATCCCAACTCTGAACTTGCACACCTTTCATCCAGGTGAAGGCTACCTCAGACGGGGATGAGAGCCCCTCAGCCAGCCCCGGGAAACTGGCTCAGGGACAGTGTGGTGAGGAAGAGGTGAGGGCCCCTTTCTATCCTCTTAAACTCTTCTCACCCTCTTCTCCGCTATTCCAGGATTTACTTCATCCTCACCCTGTCCTTAACTTTCCTTTTAAAAATTTAAAAATTTATTTTTAAGAATATTTTTATTTTTAATTGACACATATTCATTGTATATATTTTTGGGGTACAGTGACATTTCAGTACAGGTATGTGATATATAATGATCAGATCAGCATGATTGGCATATCTATTGCCTTGGATATTTATCATTTCTTTGTGTTGGCGACATTCAAAATCCTCTCTATTAGCTGTTTGGAAATATTCTATTAATTGTTATCAACCACAGTTATCTTACTGTGCTGTATAGAGCATTAGAAGTTATTCCTGCTCTCCAGCTGTACCCTGTTCCTATTAACCATCTTCTTTCCATCCCCTTTCCTGAACACCCTTCACAGGCTCTAGTAACCATTATTGTATTCTCTACTTCTATGAGATCAACTCTTTAGCTTCTATATACATTATTTGTCTTTTTTTGTGCCCCTAACTTTTCTTTTTGCCCACAGGACCCACTGGATCTATCTAGCACTTTTGTGTCTCTGGCTTTGCGCAAGGTTGGGGATTGGGCCCCCAGTGCTCACCGAGAGAAGGGAGTGAGCCAGGAGCTCCGTATCAGGGGCCAGGGCACCCAGGAGAAGATGAGCCAAGAGGAAAGGAACCCTTCAAAAGAGGAGAGGCCCAGACAGAGTTGTAAAGTGCAGGTGAGGTGGGCAGGGGAACCAAAATGTTCTGGAAAGGCACAAGATCTCAGGGTTGAAGGGACTATCCACTAGGAGTTCTCTGGCTTTAGGGCCAAGAGACCTGGGGTCAGTCTTCATCACTGTCACTCTGACCCTGGGTAGTTTACTCTGTAGGAAAATAGGACTGGTACTTTTATTACATGTTGATTACAGTATAACTTAATAGAGGAGAAAGATTTGGGAGACTGAGGCATTGAAGTTTGCTTTACTTTGCTTCCCATCCCTAGGCATCTACAGGACTGGTGGCAGCTGCCTTACAGCAGAGCCAGGAATTGGCAAGTAAGATCTTTTCTCTTTCTTCTTACCCCAACCTCTGGTGGTACCCCCATTGGAACCTTCCTACTTTCTCTCTTCCCTAGAGTTGGGTACCAGCTTTGCTCAAAGTGGTTTCTACCATGAGGCTGTGGACCTCTTCACCCAGGCCTTAAAGCTCAATCCCCGGGACCACCGGTAGGTAGGAGCTTGGCCACTGTGCTGGGACATCAGGGTAAGGAAGGGTGTTGAGGACCTGGACCTTTGTCCACTTTTTCTGTTTATCAGGTTATTTGGAAATCGCTCCTTCTGCCATGAGCGGCTGGGTCAGCCAGTGTGGGCCCTGGCTGATGCCCAGGTGGCCCTTACCCTGCAGCCTGGATGGCCCCGGGGCCTCTTCCGCCTGGGCAAGGCCTTGATGGGACTACAGGTAATAGAACTGAGGCTGGAAACAAAGGAGAGATTTGGGTGGGATGAGGTAGGGAATAGGTTTATATTGACCTTTTCTGGAGAAGCTTCTGGTTGCAATACTAGGAGGTGGGGACAGCTTGAGGACGGAATCAGTTTTAAATTCTTGGGACCCCTGACACCTAAATTTTGCCTTTTCTAATCTCTCTGGGACCAAAGCGCTTTAGGGAGGCTGCTGCTGTGTTCCAGGAGACTCTGAGAGGGGGTTCTCAGTTGGATGCAGCCCAGGAGCTACGCTCTTGCCTTCTGCAGCTCGCTCTGGTAAGGGAGGTAGGCTCACTCTCAGGCCAGGTATAACTGGTTGGGACCACAGCACCAAGCAGTGCTACCTTGCATCTCATAGGGCAAGGGACACAGGATGGTGGGGTTATATTCCTCTCTCTCTTCCTTCTCAGCAGGATCATCAGCAAGGGAGAATTTGTGTACCACCTGGATTGACCAGGGCCCCCCAGCAATCTGCCCATTCTGAGCCAGGAGCCTCAGGCCTACTCTCCCTCAGTCATCCTCCAAGCACTGTTCCAAGGTCCCCTGGTCTGGCTCCACTCTTGCATTATCCTCCATATCACCTGAGCCACTCCAATTGGCCTTTCCCTCAGACTCAGAGTAGAAGACCCCACTCTCTTCATCTCCAGGACCCTTCAAAGAACTGGGACATCCTGGGATTTTGGTCCCAGCATCTGCCTCAGGCTAGATGAAAGAAGACCTGTCCCTCATATGGCAAGGCCATGTGGACATCCCAAGGGATTGGGGATACTGTGGGGACAATTCACTGCATGTTTTGAGATGCTGTACTCAAAAGCTGTAGTTGAGGACAATGCTGGCAGTTGTTCTTGCCACTGAAGACCTTCCAATGAGAGAAGGGAGTCCCATATCAACTGAAACATCCTTTCTTTGGTTCTTAAGCAGATGGCTTCTTCTAGGGGTGGTAGGAAAAACAAAATCCACCATTGCCCAAGATAGGAACTATATAGAAGTTCCGGTCTTTAGACTACATAAGAGTCAATAAGGTTGCATCTGGGGCTTGCTCTGCTTCTTGGCTTCATTCACCAGCTAGAACTTTGTGCTCAGGAATGAGGTCAGAGTAATGAATAAGGTTTGAGTCCCACAGTTTAGCTTAATGACATTTACGTCCTCCTCACCCCAGCTCTTGCCCTATCTTTTTAGCTACAACACCCAGTTTACTTCAGTCCCTTGTGTCATTTCCTGTCTACATTGCTATGCACACTCTGACCTCTGCTTTGTCTGATGGTCTTAAACCCACATCCTCCTACTCCTGGAAGATTCTTTAAGGTTTGCATTCAAAATGTCCCTTACTGTCTGATTTCTGGAACTCGCGGGGCCCACACATCTCCACATTCCCTACTGCCAACTCTCCTATTACATGGTTCCCAGGCTGCTGCTACCTTGGGCACTTTTTCCACCCAGCACTAGGCATTGCAATTAGCCTTTCCCCAAGAGTTTCCCCATCAAAGGTCCCTGCCCCAAAGATGGCTATAATTCTCTACTTCCTGTGTAAGAAATATGATTTTCTTTTGGCTTCTCTAAGATCCTGGCAGATTCCTTTGGCTGATTCCGTACTGACCCTGCCTAGGACACTTAGCTCATTTAGGTGTGGATCTGCAGTGGGATGGGGGGGTCACTTTTAGCCCTCTTTTCCAAATGTCTTCCCCAGAGGAATCATTTAGTCTTGTTCGACTTGGAGATAGGAGGTATTGAAATTTCACTCTTATACAAGACTTCCTAAAATTTTTTGTTTGTGATTTAAGCCCCTTAAATACTGTGTAGCAGGTTGAAGTCTACCATTACTATGTGGGTCACTTTGGGCAAATCTCCAAATAGTTAAGCCTCAGTTCCCTCATCTATAAAACAGGCAATTCCTACCTCACAGGGCTGCTGTGAGGATTAACAGAGAATAAGAAAATACCACAAAGTGCCTAGTATATACAGGATGCTAAATAAACTATTTTTGCTTATAACTATCCTATATATTTGTGATTCCTACAGTGAAAAGGGAGGAGTAGAAGTGAATCACTGCCTAAATTCATAAAACCCAGAGTTCCTAAGACTGTGGGTCTCCAAGTGTGGTTTTTGGACCAGCAGCATCAGTATTATTCAAGAACTTGTGGCAAATACAAATTTGCAGACCCCAAGCTAGGCCTTCCAAATCAAACTGGAAACCATAGGAGTGGGGGCCAGCAATTTGTGATTCAATATGCCTGCCAGATGATTGTGATGCACACTGTTCTAGGGCTTAGAGAGCAGACATCCATCCAGAGGCCATTTTGGTGGGACAGGTCTGAGTTTTGTTATCCAAGGCTTGAGTAGAAGAGGTGGCAGCACTGGCATTGCTGGAATTAAGAAACCTTATTTGCCTTGGGATTCCTTGGCTTTTCCCTCGGGAGTTGGCAGGTGGTGGTGGGGTGTGGGGAAGGGTAGTTGTTTTTGTTTAAAGGGTAATTATATTGCAGTGATGCCTTAAGAAGTCTGTCCATCTAGCTTTCCTGTTTTGGGTTGGGAAGGGAGATCTAGGTACTTCTAAGATTCACAGCCCCTCAAAGCATGGTCACCCACTACTGTGTGGGATTTTAACCTTTAAACTGGGCTAGCTTCTTGCTTTTGTTTGCAAATGTTTCTTCCCAGCTCTCTTAACCTTTTAAAGACTTGAATCTTTAAGCCAAGAGCCACAGGACCCTGACACATTTCCCCACTGTGCCCTATACACACCACTCCTGATTGATAGTGTTCTGACTCAGCAGCCTAAATTCCAAAGTAGTCAGGACTGGAAAGTGGATAACCAACCATGCTGGTTTTTCGGGGTATGGGTCTTGCAGTGTGAAGACTGGGAAAGTGCTGGGCAAACCAAGAAGGGTTGGTCATGGGCTAGAAAGTTTCCAGAGGGACAGTCTTTAGAAAGTGATGAAAGGAATAAGGGAGGAAGGGGAACCAGGGGTGGTATGTGTGTTGTGTATATATTGAGGGGACGACACAGCTGCAGAGAATGTTTCTTAGCAATATAGCAGTGGTCATTTTTTCTGTCCTTGATGCCATCCCCCCCCAGTTGTACAGGTTTGTAAGGTTGTCACTAACTCCTACAGTCCTTGGTCACTGGGGCAATCATACTGATTCCTCTTCTGTGACCACCTCCTCATCCTAGCCCATAAGTCTAGCCCTGAATTCTCTATCTTCTTACCTTCTGCAGTTGCCAGAGATGTACTGCTTTCTTCCAGTCTCTATCAGTCTGATCCATCATACACATATAGCCATATTAGCCTACCCTAAACATTGCTCTCGGGTCTCTCTGGAACCTCCTGGAACCATGTTCTAAGGTACAATGCCTACATTCCCAACTTTGGCCCTTTCTCCTCTCCTGTTTTTGTAAGTTCTTTGCTTCTTCCCATTAGACCTTGTCCTCTTTACAGGGACAGTAGCTGTAGTTGCTGAAAGCATGTGCTCCTGAGTCAGACAAGCACAAAGGTTAGTTAGCTCCACCTGATCATTTACAAACTGCATGACCTGGCCAAGCTCCCTTAAGCTTCTGTGATTCAGTCTCTTTATCCTTAAAATGAAAACAAAAACCTCTGTCCCTGAGGTCATTGTGAGGATTAATCCACGCAAAGCACTTGGAATGGCTCAATGAGGGATAGTTATTTCTGAAAATGCCAGGTCTCCTCCTGCCTTCCAGCCTGTTTACCCTTCCTGGAAAAACTTGTTGGCCTTCCACCTGCAACTGAGGCCTAACACCCTGGCTACCTCCGTTAAGCACAGGGAGGATCTGAGGAGGTCCGGTCGACTGAGGAAAAGAGGGAAAGCTGGAAAGAGCCTAAGCATGGTCTCCTGAAGTTTGGCTGGGGTGGCCAAGGGTGGGGAAGCCCTGCAGCTAATAGAGTTTTCTCCTCCCTTCCCCCATCATCCTGCAGGAGGGTGCTTAATAGCCAACAGAATAAATGAGTGTCAAAAATGTCAGCATTGGGGGCTGGGGATATAGTTCAATTGGTAGAGTACTTGCCTCACATGCACAAGGCCCTGGGTTCAATCCCCAGCACACCAATGTCAGCAGTGGGCTGGGATTGTAACCCAGGGAGCACTCGCCTAGCATGTGTGAGGCACTGGGTTCCATCCTCAGCACTACATATAAATAAATAATCTCAACTATACACACACACACACACAATGTCAGTATTGCAGCTAGACCGGATTTCCCACCCTGAAAGCCTGGCTACTCCAAGTTCTGCCTGGGGCCAGGCTTTGCCACCCTCTTGAGACCTGGTGGTGCTAAGAACATTTCTGGCACAGGAGGTGCCAGCCTCCCTCTGCAGAACAGAGAGGCCTCCTAGAGTCCTACCACCAAAGGTAGCCTGTAGGAGCATGGTGGGGAGTGTGCTGGCCCAAGCCACAGCCCAAGTCCTACCCACTTTCTTCTTCCCACCCAATGTCTCCTAGGCAGAATGACAAGCATCAGCTCTGAAGAGCGAATCCTGACCTCAGGATTCTTCTTTTGTAAAATGGGCCTAATCACACACCTACCCGATAGGGTTGCCACCTGAGTTAAAGGAAACATCAAGTTTCAAGCGCTATACACGGTGTCCGCACCATATTTCCCCAATAACCAGCAGATTTTGCTGTTATTGGCTCTGGGCGCCGGGACTGAGGCATCTTGCAGCAAAGCCTCGACTTTATTCTCAACAATGGGAAAGATGGGCGCCTGGATTGTAGGCCAGACAGGCCCAGGTGGACCTCCTCCCTCCACCCGGGAACCCAGACAGGACAAAGAGTGCGGAAGGGAGGAGTCCGGGGCTCCAGAGTTCAGGGCTGTTATCCGGTTTGCCTTCAATCATCCACCTGTATTTCTTCGTCTGATAGGTGGGACCCGGAGTTAGGCCCAACAGGGTAGGGGCTGGAGTTGGGGCCAGGGCTTTGAGAATCGTGAGGCAGCGCCAGGCTGCACAAGACTCCTGGGGACAATGTGCGTAGCGAGGCCACGTCGGCGCGCATCTCCTCCACATCGCGCTTAAGCTTGGCACGGCGGTTTTGAAACCAAGTAACAACCTGTGCGTTGGCCAGGCCGAGTCGCGCAGCCAGTCCGTCGCGCTCTGAAGGTGCCAAATACTTTTGGAAGACGAACCGCCTCTCCAGCTCCAGCACCTGCTGCGCAGTGAAGGCTGTCCGTGACTTGCGTCGTCTGCGGCCGGCAGGGGCCGGGCCCAAGGCGTCTGCAGCGGCCCTGCCTGCAGGGATAGGGCGGGGATCAGTCTCAGGCCGGCGGGAATTAGGTTGTATCCTTGGAGGAAAAGCTGGGAGTGAGATCAGTCCAGTAGGTGGGCGAAAGAGAGGGAGCCAGGAAAGATGGGGACCAGCACCGCGGTACTTACCAAAAACTGCGGAGGTCAGGTTGAGGAGGGGTGTGGGGAGCATAGCGCAGCATGCCACTGGAGTTACCAGAGGCTGAACACTGAGGGCTTGTGAGGGAGGAAGGGGGCTGGAAGGAGGGTGGGACAGGCCCGAGAAATTCTGGTGTAGGATCAGGCCGCCTGAAGTACAGCTTGGAGGCCTTTTGTAGCCCCAGGTTGTGCGGGCTAGCAGATTTGGGGTGACACCAGAGGTAGGTCAGAGCAGTGGTGCCTGTCCCGGGCTGGTGAAGGTAACAGGACCTAGATCGTGCCCTTCCTTAGACTTCTGAGTCGTGTAGGGCACTCAGCTTACACTTACTTTTTCAGTGATACCAAGCCTTCTATGAGAGCCCCAAAGTTTGATAATGGGAGTACAGAAAGCGAGGAAAGTCGGAGTGCGGTGTCCCGCCCCCAACGCCAAGCCAAAGACGTTTGGCTCTTTGCTCCCCCTCATGAAGAGAGTGACTTGGAGCAGAGCTTGGTCTCCTGGAGAGACCCAAGTGTCGCCTCCCCGCGCTTCTGCCTCGTCCAAGCCCTGGCTCATTAGTTTACAGCCTGCGACTCGAGCCTTTTGTCTCCTACTCTCCGGCCTTTCTCTGTCGAGATTACCCCGCCTACTGCGAACCGACCAACGGGTCGCTCAATTCTGGACAGCCTGGCCTTTTGCTGGTGGCTTCCTGGAGCAGCCACAAAGTCTGGGGAACTAACGGAGGAGAGGCGGAAGCCGGGGATTCGAATCCTGATGCACGGACTGAGGGCAAGCGCCGATTAGGGTGACCCGGCCGGGATGAGACGAAGGTTTGAAACCAAGAACCAGGAAAAGAGAAATGAAGAGACAGCCAAGTTGGGGTCCAAGACCTTGCCCGCGTTATACCTTCAAAGGGCTGTGAAGCGCGCCCGTCAAGTCCGCGGAAAGTTTTACTGGTCAGCTCCTCCAGGGCGCACAGCGGCGACGTCGGATCAGGGCAGGATTCTGGAAGCTGTGGCGCAGTGGGTGCTCGGGGGACCATGCGAGGGCCTAGAATGTCTGCGATGCTGAAGGGTATTCGGGGCTGGCGTTCGGAGTTCATGGCCCTCTGGGTTATGGTTGTCCCGCCACCCGCTGCGCTTGGCTCGGCAGTCACCAGGGCCCCAGCATTGGCTCCCAATCCGGGCCCCCTGACTCGGACCCGCCCCCGGCGCAGGGCTTCAGCTTCAGCCAGGTGCCCCTCCTTCTGCGCCCCCACCCTCTCTCCCCAGGGCCCCAGCGGGTCTGGAGCGGGTAGATGTCCCGGCAGCCTTATATCTACAGTGAGGAGAGGCGCGGAGATAAGTAGGCAGAAGAGCCGCCTGCCCGACTAGGGCCTCTCTGCGCTGTGGATCTCTGCGCTGTGGCGCGCAGTCGCGTGTGCACTAAAACTGGGCCTAGTCCCCTAAACTTTGTATGCTGCCGACTCCGCGCCTAGGCGCCGCTCTGGCTCATAAACTTGTGAGCGATAAAAATTGCTTTCCAGGGCCCCAACAGCTGGGAATTTGCAAAGTTTCACAGATGAGGATCCCTGAACTCAGTCTTCTAACCTGGCACCCTTCATCGCCACCAATCCCTGGTAAAT